TTGGAGTCCTAGGCAGCATTCCTCCTCCTCCAAATACAGCGAGTCCAGCTGATGCCAAACAGCTTGATTTTGGTCTCATCTGACCACAACACTTTCCACCAGTCCTCCTCTGCATCATTCAGATGTTCAGTGGCAAACTTCAGACGGGCCTGGACATGTGCTTTCTTGAGCAAAGGGACCTTGCGGGCACTGCAGGATTTCAATCCTTGTCGGCGTAGTGTGTTCCCCATTGTTTTCTTGGTGACTGTGGTTCCAGCTGCCTGGAGATCATTAACAAGATCCTCACGTGTAGTTCTGGGATGATTCCTCACTGTTCTCATGATCATTGACACTCCACGAGGTGAGATCTTGCATGGTGCACCAGACCTAGGGAGACTGACAGTTGTTTTGTGTTTCTTCCATTTGCGAATGATTGCACCAACTGTTGTCACCTTCTCACCAAGCTGCTTGGTGATAGTTTGGTAGCCCGGTCCAGGCTTGTGTAGGTCTACAATCTTGTCCCTGACATCCTTGGACAGCTCTTTGGACTTTGCCATGGTGGAGAGTTTGGAATCTGATTGTTTGATTGCTCCTGTGAACAGGTGTCTTTTTTATACAGGTAACAGAATGAGATTAGCAGCACTCCCTTTAAGAGACTGCTTCTAATCACAGCTTGTTACCTGTATGAAAGACACCTGGTAGCCAAAAATCCTGCTGAATGATAGGGGATTAAATACTTATTTCCCTCATGACCATGCAAATCAGTGCATCATTTGTTAGACATGCATTTCTTTTGAATTTTGTTGTTGCTATTCTGTCTCTCACTGTTGCAATACACCTACCATTTGATTTTTAGACTGATCATTTCTTTGTGAGTGGGCAAACATTCAAAATCAGTAGGGGATCAAATACTTATTTCCTTCACTGTAGGTACGGTGTCCTGTACGCTCACACAGGGGTAGCATTGGATGGTGCAAGAATGGTAAACCTTATGTTACCCTGCAAGATAAAGCTGCTGGCAGGATCACAGGGTAATTTTAGACATAATGCAAAGAATAATAATAAAGGGCATAAATGGAAGATTGGAAGCAGAAAATTTATTGTTTATGATTTGTGTTTACTGACACTATAGAGCAGATGTTTTCATCCAGGGTTCCTTTGAACCCTAGGGATTCTGCAGAGGATGTTGGGGTTTCCTTGAACAATGAGCCATTTCTGCCTTTCAGATAAGCTACCACTGACACCAGTGATCTTTCTAGCTATCTGCATGGGTGGGCATTTTCTCGTTGAACACAAACCTGGATTAAAAAACAGACTTGATCTTTTTTTTTTTTTTTTTGCCAATGCATGTGTGAACAAGCAGCATGCATTCACGCAGGGTAACATGTCACTAAATCAAAAATAAAAAAGCAATCTATTTCATACCTCCATCTGATGTAATGTGAGTACCTTGTATGATCAGTGTCAGGACATCCAGTGATACATATTGTTATAATTGTGAAGCGCAGCACTATAAGCCTTTTGCATTTTAGAAGTCAAAAACCAAGCTCTTAAAAATAAACTGGTTTCACTAATAAGCTGTGAATAACATATAAATACATAAATCACAAATTTGCAGATAATTGTGCTTAAACAAGTGCATTCGGTATAACAAAACTCTATATGCAAAAAAATACTTTGTTATAACATTGAGTCCTTTGTTGTGCATCCCACAGAAAACTGTGCCCAAATCCTTATCAATATAAAATAAAAAATGTGTTTTATCTTCGTCACTTCTTGTCTGCAACCATCACCTTGTTCTCCTCCACCTTCACCAATATGTCCAAAGTTGGACACTGAGCCTCCCTGATAGACTCCTTAAGCTACAAGAGGTCATAAGTAGCCTGATAAGGACAGCATCACTCTCCGGCATTTGCACCACCATGATAGAGAATACAAACAACCATCTGATCAGCTCTCTTAACTCGGGGTTTCATTATTGCACATAAATAGACAAAAGGAAGGTCTAATGCAGCCTTTCTCAACCAGGGGGCCTTGAGGTTTCTTTAGGGGTGCCTTGGCAAAATATCTAAAAATTGCCCAAAACCTGGATCCATGCCAGTGGGTGGAACAAGCCTGCCTTTTAGTTACACAAAGTCACAGGTTTTCATTGTGCACCATTGCGACCTTCTAGCTGCCAGCGTCCTGACAATCAATGACATCATCAGTTGATAAGGAGGATGTCCGCTGCCTGCACAGCATGCTAGTTTGACCCTCCCCTGCCCCTCTCCATCAGTGCTGGGGTCACATTAGCTCAGTGATGGAGAAAAACTGAGGGAGAAGAGAAACACTGAAATACTAGTCAGTACCCGTGTGCAAAAGTGTATTTGTTTTGGAAGAATAAATCACCACTAATGTTGTGTGTCCTACACGTGTGGATGTTGCTGCATTGTATAAAACTATCAGAGTAGTTTTTCACATTTTAGAACGGGGTGCCTCGGGACTGTCCATACTTTTGAAGGGTGCCTTGACTGAAAAAAGGTTGAGAAACATTGGTCTAATGCTCTCTGCTTAAATACTATTTATTAATCAAATCCAATCACACTGATATTTTAAAAGATCTCAACAGAGGCAAATATAAGAAGCGGCTGGCATCCACAGTGGGTTCATTCACATGTCCATGTTCTTGTCCTCGCAACCTAATGTTACTCTACCCACTTATGGCATGATGTCATTATACTCACCCTGCTTTACGTGTTATGTCCCAGGGGACTTCCTCAAAAACTCTACACAATTTTTTTATTGTCGTTCAAAACTTTCATTCTGAGGGTGGCTATGTTGAGTCCCTATATGTGAGAATGTCGACTCCATCCTCTAAATCAGTGCTTCTCAAACTTCCTAATGCCGCAACCCTTTAATACAGTTCCTCATGTTGTGGTGACCCCCAACCATAAATTTATTTACCCAGTAATTATAATTCATGAAGTGTCGTTTTACCTCCAATACTGCTGCTTTCAACACAGTAGCTGCTTTTAACAGAGTAGCTGCTTTAAACACAGCAGCTGCTTTCTACACAGTAGCTACTCTTTAAAAAATGTGTTTTCCGATGGTTTTAAGCGACCCCTGTGAAAGGGTCGTTCAACCCCCAAAGGGGTCGCAACCCACAGGTTGAGAACCACTGCTCTAAACGCTCTTGAAAAGAACTACATGCAATGAATAGCTCCCATAAATCAAGATGCCACCCATAGGCTAGTATTACAGCCTGGAGTAATGCAAACACATTTGCTCCTGTACTGTAGGGGGCACCTGCAGGCACAATACTTTCTGGGAAGTGTAGTGGGAACAGAGCAGTGCACTGCTTGTAACAAGAAACTAGAAGTGAAGGGGAAGAGCCCCCGTGGATAGGGAAGGGAGAAATTGATAGAGACAAAATGGTATTGAAAAAGTTATGATGTGTAAGATTTACAGTTCCAATTACAATATTCATTTTACATGGATGGTTTTGTGACACATTAAAAACACTTGTAAATGGGCCTTAAATGTTAGTTATACAGTATTTTGTTGAAAATCTATTGACTGAACTTGACAACTGGTTGGAATATCTCACCTCTGCACTCTCTGAGAGACATAACAAGCTCTGGAAGTAAACTTTACCAAATTGGAGGCATTGGTTTGAAAGATGTTGACCTTAAACCAGTGTGTGTGCCACACACTACTAAAAAAAACACTTTATTGCATTACTTTGTTATATTCGAGAAGAAGTATTGCCAAAGTTTAGAGTGCTTCTCAAATCCCCCAGGGGACCCTGCTCAAACCTGTTCCTGTTCAAATCTGGACAGTGTTTAGGAAATAAAATGGCATTTGTGTTACTGTCAATGCTGGCTGTAGTCTACAGCCAGCACTAAAGCATTCACTCCCTCTACATTCTGAAGCCTTCCATGCAATATTGCAGCCCTGTTTGCTCATCAGACACCTACAATTAGAGATATCATCAAGTTTTTTGGCTTGTTTTCATGTGATTGACAGTGCATGCAGAGGAAACACAATCAAGATACTACACTTGTGTTTTTATGAATGACAGTGCTCTTCTGCAGCCACAGTATTTCAGAAGGAAACAAGCCAACAGTTTGATAATTAGTTTCCTCTAAAATAACAGCAGGGTGTAAAGGGGCAGAGGAGGCATAGGGTTGCATGATTAGAAGAAGAGATGTCTGCTTGCAACGGAGAGTAGAGCAGGGAGTTGTACAGATACTTTGTATATTTTCCATCATACTCCCTCTCCTCTGAGCTGTCACTCAGAACTGCCATCTCCTTCGTCCAGTGTTGTATAGCAGTGGAGGGAGCAGGGGCCAGCTATCTCAACAATGCTGCTTATGAACCACAGCACAAATTAAAGAGGGGACACGTGCGATGTGTACTGGGTCCCCTGGGGGATTTAACAAACATTTTTATGCCTGTGGCGATGCTTCTTTAAAGCAGAGCTCCAGTCTCTGAAAAAAAAAACTGTAGCTGCTGACTTTTAAAAAAAAAAACAAAAAACAAAAAAACAGCCACTCGCCTGTCCCATGATCCATCGGTGTGTTCACTGGCCATCCTCTCTCTCCCCTGGCAAGTGTGGGCACCCGGCTGTGACAGGTTGCGACTTCACAGCCGGGTGCCCAATGTGCATGCGTGAGTAGCGCTGTGCATTGTGAATGGTCCTGTAGTCTTCTGGGACTTGTCACGTGTCCTGCGGGAGAGGGAGGAGAACCTCTGCTTCCGATCGCCTAGGTTGTCGAAGCAGAAGTGGGAGCAGGTACCTGTCAAAATCAACTACCCGCTCCCCAAAGGTGCCAATTGTTATCGGGGAGCAAAGGACCAATTCTTAAACTGGAACTTCCCCTTTTGGGTGGAACTCCGCTTTATGTTATAAATTTGTTGCCAAATGGGTTTATAGCAGAAATGTCAAATTTGCTCTGGTTCATAGCAGGTGTGATACCTGTAGTGGTTAAAATATTAAAACAATTGTCCATTCTGCCTTTTTTATACTGTGTTTCTTTTAATTTTAGAAAGTACCTTACACACAAAGTCTATCCAGTGCTCTTGGTCCTGGAAGAACTATGCTTGTAAAGGGAGAAGTAGATAGAAATGCAAAACGGTAAATTTTATGTTGCTCTTAAATGTAAACAGTTTTTTTACTGCAGGTGTTTCCAATTTGTTTTTAATGCTTTATTTTTATTGATAGCTTTGCTATAGACCTAAAGCAAAGTGGTTCGGGAAACATTGCTTTACACTTGAACCCACGTATGAAGGAGAAAGCATTTGTAAGAAATTCCTACTTGTATGACAGCTGGGGAGATGAGGAAAGGCAGCTGGGAGAATTCCCATTTTTTCCTGATATGTATTTTGAGGTAAGTGAAAATTATGAGCGTTATATTAATTGGCTACCAGGAATACATTTCTATAACAATACAGAATTCCGTGAAAGTTTCTATGAGTGGATAATTGTCTTATGTGAATGACGGCCTTAAGAGGTTACTCCTGTAGCAGCAGGGCATAATTTGGAATGGACGCTTTCCTTGTGGACCCTATTTTATGGGTCCCCATGCTCACTATGGGGTAGATGCCTGTCCTTGGCTTGTGGCATAAGGGTATGTGTGTTTAACCGCCTCCCGCCTGCCATATAAGGAAGGATGTCATATGACCTCCTCCCACTCTAACTGCGCATGCTCCCTCGGGGGCGATCGGTGGTGCCTGGGACACAGCGGATCACCGATCACAGTACAGAGCTGATGACACAGGCTCTGTCGTGATCAGCTGTGTCTCTAGAGCTCCTTACTCTATTGCATGCTTTGTCCTGCACTTGAGGATTCGCCTGCTCAATCTTTTATTTTTTAAGTTCCTGACGTGGAACGTCCGCGGTATGAGAGCTCCGCCTAAGTGGACTGCAATTATGTCCCAACTAAAATCTCTGCGGGCTGATGTGGCGTTCCTTGTGGAAACCCACGTCAACGGTGGACTTCAGATGGCCCTTAAAAAACCCTGGATTGGTTGGCTGTATCAGGCTACCCATACCTTCAGTTCACGTAGCGTTGCCATAGTGATTGCTAAGACTTCCCGTTTTCAGTTATTGACATTGCAGGCGGATCCTCAGCATAGGTTCCTTTTTTTACATGCTGTTCTCAATGATCTTGAAATGTTGTTATTGGCATATTATATCCCTCCCCCTTTCAGTTTGTGGTATTCAATGAGGGTCTGTCCTTCATTGCATGTCATCCTGGTATCCCTACAGTGTGGCTGGGGGATTTTAATATGATTATAGACCCTAGTTTAGATAAACTGGATTATGACCCCTCTGCTCCTACTTCATCCCATGTTACCCAGTTTTGTAAACTTTTGACGGAATTTGCGCTGGCGAACACCTGGAGATATTTGCACCCCATGACTAGGGTTTACTCCTGTTTTTCGGCCTCCTACTCCATGATGTCTCGCATAGATTATATATTTATATCTAAATCGTTACTATCCATGCTGGGGGGGGGGTTTGCCCCTCGGGTATTATCGGACCACGCTCCTTACTGGATGACACTCAGCCAGCCTTCTTCCTCCCCTATTTATATGTGGAGGTTGAATCCTTTCTGGCTGACTGTTATCCCATATCTGAAGGATGTGCAGACTGCTTGGAGTTGCTATTTTGTGGATAATGTGGGTTCAGCTGACTTTGGCTCTGTTTGGGACTCCTTTAAATTATATGCTCGTGGCGTTTTGGCATCCCGCATCTCCAGATACAAATCTACATCTAACTTGGCTGTACGACGGGCATGGGAGCGTTTACTCGATCTAGAACATTTGTTTCAAGTGAACCCCTCGAGTGAGGCCTGCTCATTGGTCAGATTGCAGGCTCGTCTGGTCAGTCATCTTCTCTTTGAGAAGGCTAAGCAACATACTTTTTTTTTTACTAGGCAGAGAATACGCGAACATGGAGAACGGGCTGGTCGCTTTCTAGCATACTTGGTCCATTTGGATCTTCAACCCCCCCTTGTGATCTCTTTGAAGGGTGCTGGTATCACTGATCCAGATCTGGTGGTGGCGAAGTTTCGTACCTTTTTTTCTAATCTCTATTCTTCCACAGTTCGTGATTCTCCGGATGAGCTCACTCAATTTTTACAAACCATACCATTTCCTACCCTTACCCCTCCCCTTTGCTCTTTTGGAGGCTTTTATTTCCATGGACGATATTGCCAAGGCTATGGCCCTCCTGTCCCCCTTGAAGGCGCCGGACTCTGATGGACTCCCTTTGGAGTTTTACACTTATTTTCAGGATTCATTAATCCCCATTCTGCATTCTTTATATCATTATATCTTTATATCTGCCTCTCTTCCCCAGTCTATGTGCAAAGCTTTAATTGTTCTTATTATCTGAATACGGGCTCTAGGGTCGTGGTCTCCCTAGATGCAGCCAAGGCTTTTGACTCCATGGAGTGGGGGTACTTATGGGAATGTTTATGCAACTTTGGTTTTGGGCCCAAGTTCCTTAAATGGCTTAGACTTCTTTATCTCGCTCCTACGGCTAGGGTCCTGGTGGGCGGTCGGGTGTCGGACTCCTTTCCCCTTTCTCGGGGCACGTGTCAGGGTTTCCCCTTATCTCCCCTATTGTATGCATTGGCAGTGGAGCCCTTGGCCATAGCCATTCGACTACATCCTGATATCCACGGTTTGTGTTCAGGTCTACTGACCGAGATGGTGAGTCTCTATGCTGATGACATGCTTTTTTATCTGGAGGATGCGGGCCCTTTGCTGGGGCTGCTCTTGCGCTTATTGAGGCTTTCTGCTGGTTTTCATGGCTTTGTATAAATTGGAGAAAATCTCAGATTCTCCCTTTTAGATTTAGGTACCCCTACTAAGGAACAGGCTAGTCTTCCTTTGGTTAGGCTAAGTAATATTACTTATCTCAGGATTGTGGTCTCTCGTGACGCAGCGGATTATTCCTGACCTAATTTAGAACCCCTTTATCCTATGCTAAAGTCTAGATTGTAGGCCTGATCCCGTCTTCCCCTAGGGGTTATGGGACGGGTTAATTTGATTAGGATGGTGCTTCTTCCTAAACTTCTCTATATTCTTTGACATGCACCTATATATTTGCCGCTGCGAGTATTTATGTCCCTTGACTCTCTGCTTAACTCTTTCGTTTGGGGGTAATACCCGGCATAAATTGTCCTGGCGCGCTCTTAAAAATCCCGGTCATCTGGGGGGTACCACACTCCCGGATATAAATCTTTATTACTTGACAGCCCAATTATCTCATTTTTTTCATTTGGACAAGGGGGATAGAAGTAGATACCTTGCACTGGTGTGCGCCCCAGCTTTCTCCTGGGTTGTTCATCCCTTTCAATCGTTACTGCGGGGGGGCGGGATCTCGTGGCTGTGGAGGGCCGGAGTGATGATTGTTGTAGCATCACTGTAAGATTTGGTCCTTGGCCTCTGGAAGGTTGCAGCTTCCGCATATCCATTCCCATACCCCTTTTGTGGGATAACCCGGATCTTCCCTAATTCGGTACACTCCCTGGTTATAGCCTATGGATCAGCAGGGGGATTTTGCATGTTTCCCAGGTGTACACCGATGCGGGAGTCAAATCTTTTCAAGACTTCAAGGGGGAATATGATCTCCCTAATTTTATGTTTTTTCGCTATCTCCAGCTCCGTTATGCTCTGCGGGCTCAGTTTGGTAACTCTGTTTTACAATTTTAATTCTAATTGTCTCTTGGATGTGATTATGGGCACGGAACCTAAGAAACTCACGTCCACATTCTATAATGCTTTGCTCCTACCTTCTGCATCATTATTGGCTTATCGCCTTAAAACCCGCTGGGAGGTGGACGTGGGGGAGCTGGATAATGAAATGTGGGAGTTGTTGTCCTCGACTAAGATGGTTTCATCTTACTCAGCTATATATTATACATAGAAGCTACTTGACACCAATTCGATTGTCTAAATATAGCCCACTTTGCCCTAAATGTGAAGACCCTGATAGTACTTTAATTTATTATGGCCCTGCCCCCTCATACGGGGCTACTGGTCCCAGGTGGTCCGGTTCCTTCATGACCAGATGGGTTCCCCCCTTACCCTGTGCTCTAAACAGTGTCTGCTTGGACTTCTTCCTAGCTCAGAAACTGACAAATTTCAGACTTTTTTTTTTTTTTTTTGCCTGAGACGCTATTTGTGGCTACTTCTACTTGCCCATATGTGGTTGCAGGCGCTGACTCCTACGTTTTCACAATGGATAGCTGCGGAAATAGTACTTTACCATATAAGAAGGTAATTTATATGCATAGAGGATGCCCTGCTAAGTATCACAAAGTTTGGGATAGATTGCTTGACTTTACATCTACTTGTGATGAGGAGGAGGTGGAATAATGTTGTAAATTCATTGTGTTGGTTGTTCCTCTGCTGGTCCTCCTTTCCTTGCCTGCAGCAAAGGCTCTAAAATTTTGTATAATGCGTTACTTGTTTGTGTATTTGTCCTATGGTTTTTTGTTGTTGAATGTGAAATGTGGCTGCATATCTGTTCCTCACAATAAAAGTTTGCTTGAATAAAAAAAAAAAAAGTCTCCCTTGTTCCATGACTGCCTTCCCCCTCGTCTCTCCTTTTTGGTTTGGGGGGGGCCTCATGGAATTCTCTATTGTTTGTTTACAGTTCTCTTTTGGGGATGATGCTAATGTTAATACTGCTAGAGGGAGGCACGGGTGCGCAAAAGCATTTTAGAACACATTTTAGTTCACATTTAACCCCTTGATCCCCCCCCCCCCCCAGTTACCCCTTCACTGCCCTGTCACCAGTATCATTAGTACAATGTACAGATTTTTTGCTGATCACTGTATTAGTGTTGCCGGTGACTTCAGATAGTGTAAGAGTTTGTTCGTGTCCCTCCCAGATAGCGTTGGATTGCCCCTCATTACACCAATCATCACATTTAACCCCTTGATTGCCAGGAACACGCTCACATACACAATAAACCTCCATTGCTAGTATAATGTCTGAACGGATCAATATCTTTGATCAGATCAGCTCTATACCAGCGTTCACATTAGTATAGTGTCCCCAAAAATGGAGCGTTAGCTGTATCAACCCTGGCACCTGCCAGCACATGCGTTTTAGCCCTACGCTTCCCCCCCTTCCCCCTCCAACATTTTTCTGGCCGCCTTGCATTCAAACAATTTCTCCCCAGCAAGCGTGCCAGATATGGGGTCAAGATGTATAAGACCTGTGAGAGGGCAACAGGCTATACATATAAGTTTTGAATTTACGAGGGAAAAGATAGTCGCGTGGAGACCCCCGGATGCCCAGACTACATGGGGAGTAGTGGTAAGATAGTTTGGGACTTGGTGTTATCCTTTCTCCATATTTAGACAT